AGCAGGACAGACTATCTTTATTAATGAAAATGGCTAGCTGTATATATTCCTCCTTTTTTGGGAACTAAATGTCAGATTTCTCTCACATCTCTACCTGTACAATAAACACTGTTTATAAAACCATAAGAAAAACTGTCTTAATGAACCTAAAAGGTAACACTGCTTGACCTGTGCTGCTGTTAAAGTGGTAAATGCATGCTGTAGAAAAATGTAATGTATTCAATACTTGAGTCTTTTATATGACTTTCTTAACAATCCAGTATTAAGTGGCAAATGCACTATTTTAAGTGATTGATTTTTTTTTTTTTTTAACCTATTTTTCTCAAAATAGTGACTTTCACTTGAACCCAGCTTGCATATAAGAAATCAGGTATTTTAGGCAGTGTTAACATTTGAACTCTGCTGGGTTTTTTGGATCTAATTCTAATTAAAGTGTTTATTCTCTTCTGCTTGGCTTTACTAAAGACTTGGTTATGAACTCAGTTGACACCCATGTTGCGTCTCACCTGTGACATGTAATATAACTTGTGCAAATCAAATATACATTTTTTACATTGAAACTGAAAATGTGGATTGGAAATATTGACTTGATTTGTGGTGTTTTGAAAGGTATTTTGTGAAATCAGGCCCGAACTCTTGACATTACACAGATCCTAAGCTTACAGTACTGCTGTTTAAACTCTTCCACTTCAAAGTAGAATTCTGTGTCTTAAAACTCGGTATACAACAGAACCAACCTTCCCGTGTCCCATGGATGAGGTGTAGTAGGTGTAGACCACTCCATAATTCTAGTGAGCATAAGCTTTTTTCAAGGCATCTGCATCAAAATGTTTGGTCAGCTAATATGCTGGATAACCAAAGTTGCTGTTTCTCTGTATTCTCAGGTGCACACGCAAAGAAGTCAAGCTACCCCTACCACAATACTCTGTAATGATTTGAAATGTGCTTTTTTCTTGGTGAGAGATTTATAAACTTAAAATGTAGTCAGTAGAACTGGGGTACTTTAGGGGGTAGATTTCATATTTCCACCCCTCCCCAAAGACTGAGGGTTTGTCAACTAGCTAGGGGAATTTAGAGCTACAGCAAACAGCTGGAGTGTTACTTCTCTCTTCCACAGCCTGGTTGCTGCAACTTTTGTTTGAAAGGTACCATGTCAGCAAATACCAAGGAGCAAGGCCGGAGGGTCCCTTGAAGCAAAACTTCCAGCAAACAGCTCCACTTGGGAACCTGTTCCAAATGAAATGAGCTGCCAACCACCTTGTACAGTAGAACCCAGATCATTCCTGCCTACTTGAAAACTAAGTTGTCTGCCCTGCTTGACCTGGTCCATAGTAAACCATTTTATGAAACAGTGAAGTAGGGGTACAGCATGTAAGTGTCCTACGCGAGACTACAAAGAATATGAGCTGCACAAGGAATGTTTTCACAGGGAGAATAAATTCGTAGTAGAAAGCCAATTCCATCATAAAACTTCCATCTCTAACGTTGATCTACTGGAGTGCAGCTCTACATTAAATGAACATGAGCCACCAATTCAGTGACGTAGCTGGCAGAGCTAATCAAACACTGCCATCCATCTACTGAGGCATCTCAAGCAAGGATGTCATCCTCCCGCTCTAGTCGGCCTTGGTGAGACTGCTGCTGGAGTTCTGCAGCCAGTTCTGGGCACTGCACTGCAGGAAGGATGTGGAGAAGCTCAGAGAGTCTGAAGGAGGGCCATGCACATTAGCAGAGAGAGGCCTTGAGACCAGGTCATATGAGGAGGGTGAAAGACTTGGGACTGTTCAGCCTGGTGAAGGCTGCCACCAAGTCCTCTCTGAGCCTATATCAGGGCCTGAGGGAGCATCTATTCACCAAGGGCCCCCCAGGGGAGGACAAGAAATAATGGGCACAAGTTGATTGATGATCGCTTCAGGCTAGACTTAAGGAAAAGCTTTACAAGTTGAGTGCTGAGGGTTTGGAACAGGCCCCCCCACAGAGGTGGTACAGTCATCCCACCCTGGCAGTCTTCAAAAAGTGTCTTTATGCCCACATTGCTGGGGTCATCTGATCCCAGCAGTCTTTCCTGCCCAAGTGGAAGGAGGCTGAACCCAATGATCTGTAAGTCACTGTAAATGAATGTTAGCTTTTCAGGGTATGGCCCAAGTTATCCTAAAACTCCAGAGCCATTGACTACTACTGCAAAATACTCAGTTACCATCTTGGCTTCATTTCTTTCTTAACAGAAAAAAAATTTACATTCTCTGCACAACAGTCTAACATTTTAAGCTATATTATCTCCTAACTACTACACTCACTGGAAGTAGAATCATCAGAGTAACTGGGTTTCAGATACCACCTTGGGCTATTTAAAATTCAGAGAGTTTCATCTACTTATTTCATAAAAGGATATTACAGGCTTGATTTTATGGATTTGGTCAGTCAGTAAAAATCATCTTACAAAATATACAAGTAATAGAAATGTTAATTTTTAATTTCAAATAAATATTTATAGATACATCCAGTATTCTGCTAAGAGAATTGTATTGTGAGATTAACAAGCTGTAGTCTGAAACGGAACTGTTTGGTTTCACTTGTGCATGCTGAAGTGAACTGTACAATACAATACACAGAGGGTGGAAAGAAGTTGACAAGATCCACTTTAGTTCCTCCAGGCCATCTTTAACAGAGTTGCCATTTAATTGCAATAGATGAATGCCCAGGGTCATATAGAACAATTGGCTAGTTCAGTTGCATTTTTGCAAATGTGTACACATGTGCACTGAAGTATGAAAGCCTAGTTCAGAGACTAAAGCAGCCACCCTGAACTTGGAGAATACAAAGTCAATTTCTTTGTCAAAGTTAAACAGAGTCTGCAGTGAAATCCTGCTTCCATACGAACTCCTCAATATACCCGCCTCCTTGGTTACAGTTTTCAGCACAGGTATAAACTACTAACGTGCCCCAGTCAATGCTTTCTTCTAAGCTGTCAACCTTCAGGTAGTTCAGCAGCTGTGGCATAACCTTCAGATCACAAAATACAATATGTCAATAAATGCATTAGATAAATGCTGTAGCTTGTTACTAAGACAGTGCTTCCCAACCCTTTCCTCAGCATGACTCCATTTAAACACTGGAAATTTTTTTGCAACCCCAAAATGATTCAGAAAAGATCAACACCCCCTTGGGTGGCACAGCAGGAAGTAGAGCCTGTGAGGGGAGGGGAGTGGGCTGTGGGCTCAGGGCTCCCAGCCCTGCTATCTGGACCCCACCCCCCTGGGGGGCCTCCACAGCCCAGCGGGCAAGATCCTGTGCAGGAGGGTGGGGAGGCTCAGTGCCACTGCCAGGAACCATGGCAAGGCACCCCCCTGCCCACCCAGCAGTGGCAGCAGCACAGAACTGTTCCCCCTGCTCCTGCCACACAGGCAAGCAGGCACAGGGCACCTCACCATTGTGGTACAGCTGGTAGGCTCCCAGCAGCAGCACCAAGCTTCCCCACCCCGCTCTTCTCTCTTGTGCAGCAGGTCCCAGAGGCCAGGGAGGGACGGCAGCAAGACAGGGAGCCCAAAGCCCATATCTGCTCCCACCCTGTGCACAAATCTGGGGGAGCATGTGCTCCCCTCATGCCTCCCTCCTCAGGAATGTGAGCAGTGGTGAGCAGCCAGCCCCCGCCACAAACTGCCCATGGCTCCATCCTGTTCCTTAGACAGGCCCCATATCCCAGCCCTGGCCCACCCCCTCCCTCACTGGGGGGGCCTCAATCAACCCCCCACCCTCAATAAGTTTACCTGGAGGGAGCTGCAGAAGCTGCTCTCCACACTGCCTGGCTGCCACGTGCATGTGTGCACATGCATGTGGCACCCTCTTCCTGCTCCCCCTACCCCCAAGCAGGCCTTTGCAGGCTGGAACACTGCCAGCCTGCAAGAAGAACCTGTTGTTTCCTGCTTATTTCTCAGATTTTCATCATAATCGGTCAACACTGTTGAATGTCTTTGCGAATCCAAGTGGGGTCATGACCCCAAGGCTGGGAACTGCTAATCTAAGGGATTAGTCTCCCTCCCATAGGAAATCTTATCTTGTCATCCCCAATGTATTTTATGTATTTGTATCAACACCTAGAACTTGCATAGCTAATTATCATTTATAGCTGGAATAAAAAGATGATTAAGGGGTTGGTTTTTTTATACAACCAATTCTTCTGAAATAAAACTTTTCCTTATAGAGAACATTTTGAATCTTGCTTTAAGATTTGTGATTTAGAACAAAACTAATTTCAAAAATGCAAAATTTTCCACATAAAGAATTCTGCTTCCTATACAATAATACTAACAGTGCACTAAATCCTTGCTAACGTCCTAAAACCAGAGTGATGGGTTATCTTCAGGACTAATTAACCAGATTTCACTTGGCTCCAGGGCTTTGCATTCACTAACTAACAAATAAATCTCCACGACTAATTAACCCAGATTTCATTGCATTCATTGTATCCGCACATAGGGAAAAGCTCTTCCTGTTGGTCAAGTCAAAGCGCTGCTTATAAGAGGTGATTTGGCACATCAGCCTAGAACCAGGGAAGCACAGATTACCGATGCCCTCAGTTTTTCACTCTGTCACCAATGTAGAGTAAACTCTCTCCACCCCTAAGGGGTAACAGTGAGTATGAGTTTGAATCTCATGATGGTGGCACACATAGCTAAAGACTACTGGTCCACATTAGCAAGTTTTACGTTTAAACAGCATAACTGTCAAAAACAAATCCAGATGTGACCCCCATTCACCTGGTTCCTATTGCTACATCCATTTGCTATTGAACCCATGCCGTGCTTCCGAGACATACTTATCACTTTACAGGCTACAAAACCATACCAGGATGAAAGGTGCTGCCACTTATGATAAAGTCCCATAAGAAAGAATAGTTACTTTAGCTATTAACTGAGAGCTAATAGATAATTAATATCAGGTTCTACACTTCTGCTGTAGCCATAGGCAAATTATCTGCATCTCAGACTTAAAATAGGCTTTTAGCTATACCCTAAAATCAATATCCTGGAATCAGTTTACCTACCTGGAATTCAAATATCCTCTTGGCACCACAAGAACAGTTTGGGATATCTTTTGCTTCAGGAATATTTTCACCTGACACCCAGATAGGGCCACCTCCTCCTCCTCTGCAGTATCTGATAATCTGAAATTAAATGCAATTTAACTAGACGAAGCTATAAACATGTGGACACTGATGAAGTTTTTTCTACTCCCCCTCTTGCATCTGTTTCCAAATGCCATTTTCATTGTAGTTTCCAAGCTGTATTATTCAGAACAAGTGGCTTTAGCAAGACTAAAGAATGCAAATGACAGAATTTCCACCGTCCCTTTTCCCTTGATACAGCAATGCTTTGAATTTCTTAACAAAGGGTCTTTAAGCTGTAGAATGAGGCTCTTAGGCTCTGCAGTTCTGCGATGAAAGCCAGGCAGGCAGATTGTGACTTTGGAAAAATCTGCCTAAGGAAGCAGGCAGCAAAGGCTGGAAGACAACCCAGGTCTCCCATTTTGTAGCTCTAAAACAAAGCTAGAATTGCAGGGGGGAAATAGCAAGATGAGCACATGAAAGTAAATGGATGCTGTTCACTTTTCCATCATCCCCTCTCTAAGGAAGGGCAGCAGCCTTGCCTTTCACTGTGGGTTCCTGCTTCATGCAGCCCTCCCTTTGATTCACATTCCATTTTCCCTTAAGGAAATGAGACCTCAGGTCTGTGAAACTCTCTCCTATGTTGGTAGGGATGCAGACTGGATGATCTAGTCTCCTCATATCTCAGACCATAAGCTTAAGATATTAAAAGCATAACTTGAACAAACAAAACCAGAATACTGCAACTGCCTTGAGGCCGTGATGTCCTATACTCCAAATATAAACCACACATGCATCTTTTGACAAGACTGTTATATTTTCACCTGCTCTGGCTCAGCAGCTATTCGATTCTTGAACTTTTGGAAGATCTTATCTTCTAGAGTCTCATGTTTTGCCATTGCCTCCAATTGTTCTTCATCTAGTGGCTCAAACACTTCACCTAACCACAGAAGACAGACAAATACAGATTGGTACAAGATTGTCAAGGTTAAAACAAAAATACTATTATTTACCTGTCTTAACCTCAAAAAGGCACATCAAAACGTGTAACAGCCATGTAAGCAGGCTGCATCATCAGAAAGAAGATTGTCTTTTTTAGGATGCCAACTGACTAAAGCAGCTTTGTGTCCAGTTCGTTAATTCCTGTAGCATTTTCAGCATACATTCTAGTAGCAGAACATTAAAGGCACGACAAAAAAACAAAGAATTAATTTAGGGAAATCTGTCTCAAACCTGAGGCACAAAGTCTGATGAACTTTCTGGTAGTGACACACAGAGCTCATTAGCTGTAGTGTAAAACCGTGGCAGTAAATTTACAACTGATCATGTAAAAACTGAAGGGGCTTCTCTATTGGCACACCATCCCCAGCATTGATCTCTCATATTTAACATGGCCAAACCACCTCTTTCACTTGAGTAAGTTGAGCCCAAAGTTTTAGACATTAATTAAATGGTTCAATTATCAGTTTAAGCATGCCACATTTTCTGTTGTCACAAACTCTTCAAAACACATGCTGTGCTCAGTGAGTAGCTTCAAACAATTTCACTGGCCTTTCAGGAAATAGGTCTGGACTTTAATGTTTTTTTTTATTTCAGTTACAGTGAGCTGAAGCATTTTCAAGCATATTAAACTTTTTTCCCAGCACACACAAGGTTATGCACAGCCTATGAAAAGCATTTTAAAACCTGTTAGTTACAAGCAGTCTCCAAAAAATACACCTGGGCACCCAGAGAAGTCAAGAAGCTCCCCTACACAACAGGGACACTGGTTCAGTGCTATAAATCTAACCACTGGTGACCTTAATATCTGGCTGTTCAGTAACACTTCATAAAAGGTCATTTCTATCAATCCAATTTTTTTTTGTTTTACATGCAACAATGTCTAATGAGGGATACAAGAAAAAAGCGAGGTTACTACAACCACAAAAGAATTAACCTTTTTCAGTGATTAGCTGTAGACTTCTTTTGTGGTTCACATGAAGTGTTTCACTTCTGAGGACTAAATATTTTAACCTGTGAAGCACCAGAGGATGCAGGTAGGGCAGATCCCTCTTGGCACCCAGGTTCTACTCCTTACCGATACCACCTGCAGCTTCCAATTCATGTTTCTTGGGATCCTTCTGTGAATCTCCATCTGTGGGACTGTCATCAGGTTTTGCCTTGTTGCCATCAGGTTCCACTTCACTATCAGAGGACTCAGTTTCCTCGGGTTCAATTACAATTTCATATTCTGGGAAAAGGAACCCATGGTCTGGGATCTCTGTGTCCGACTGAGCTACAAGACATAGAAGAACAACCAGTTTTTACCCTTTCATGCCATATTTCCTGTTCCCTCAAGAATAACACATTACTGACTTCACCCTCCCAAATATTCCACTGTTGACACTAAGGAACTCGTGAGAAAGTGCACCCAACTTCCATCTGGCACTGCAGAAGGGACTCAATCCTTCTAACAGAAAATCATGTTGAAGCCACAAGCCTTGTCCAGGCTGCAGCTGTCTCTGTCCCTAGACATGTTGGTACCAGCCAGTGGCCAACACAGCAAAGGACTTCATTTATGTCTTCAAGGCTCCACTCAGCAGCTGTACTGGCAGGCCATGAAGTGTACCCTGGCAAGCACTAGCTGCTGAAGGCACCTTGAGGACTCAAGTGCATCTACAAGTGCCTTCTGCTGCCTGCAGAGGAGGAGCAGGTGATTTTTTTGGCTTAAAGGTGAAACATGGCACTGCCTGCAGAAAGCAGGTGCTCTTGCTTCAGAGCACAGCCACCATGATGGGGTTTCCAGCATGAATGGAGTCGTCTCAGGACAACCTTAGCACTTTCTTAACAGAAAGATCTTAAAGGTCTGTCTGGGCAGGACCCAGGAGGATAGAAGCCGTGGGAGGGGGAGGAACAGATAGAGCCAGGCAGCGCTGCCACCTGAATCAAGTGAGAGTTATCAGAGAGAAGTAAGGCAAAAGACCAAGAGATCATCTAATCTAATTAGGGATTGAACTTGTTGGACTAGATGATCTCGAGGTCCCTCCCAGCCTTACTTCTCTGTAATTCTCACTTGGTTCAGGTGGCAGTGCTGCCCACCTCTGTCTGTCCATCCCCCCCTGCCAAAACCTGCAGCTTCTGCCCTTCTGGGTCCAACTAGAGAAGCAGAAGAAAAGCTAAAAGGTCATCTGTTCCCTGGTGGGCGAATGGGTTATTAAAACTGTAGGCGAACAGTAGCTCACAAAAGCTTCTGTATCTCTGCAAGGGCACTACTACCCTGCCCAACCTCAGCCAATCACCGCTCACCACCTCCCTCTGACAGGAAATGCCACCAAGGGGGAAGGGAGGTACAAGAGCCCCCCACTCAATTCCTAGCAGCAGCTCCTGAACACACATGAATAGCAAAATCCTTCCCACCTCCGAACAAGGCCTGATCCTTACCCAGTCCCCCACGTGTGTGTATACAAAGGCATCCCCCACATGCAAAACTTCTCCCAGCCTTCAAATAGGGCCTGATTCTTATCCAGTCCTGACATACATACACGCAGTACACCTGTGTGTACACTTCCCCACACACCCCTGCACATATGTGTCTGTACATTATATATGTGCACACACCTTCTGCAGCAGCTCTGAATCAAGAACGAGATACAAATCTTTATTACTTTCACACATCTAGAGAAATTTCAGATTTATAGTCTGCCAATTAACTCCCCCCTCCCCCGGTCAAACAAGGCCCGATTCTCACCCAGCCCTGCACTACACACCCCACACACACACTATGTCTACACTAGAGATGTGAAGGCCCAGGAAAAAAAAAAAAACAAAAAAAATTTACATAATAATTTTAGGTTGTTAATGTAGCAAAGTGAATTTATCTCTGTAAAGGGTGCTAGGAAAATAAGTATTATGTATATTTCAATTTTTCCCAAAATTGCTGTTTTTTCCAGGAAAAAAACAGGGTTTTTTTTCACAGCTTCAAAATTTCCAGTAATTTTATACCTCTATTCTACACCCCCCAAAAGTCATATATACCCCCCCACCTTCCAACAGAGCCTACTCCTCACCCCCCTCTCCACACATCCATACATATAGACACACACCCTCTATGACACAGAATATGTATGCATGACATGTGTAACATCCAGGGGTGTGTACATGCTATATCTATCTCTATAGACATCTCTCTCTACCTCTATCTATATGCGCATGTGTGGAAAGACAAAAAGACAGATATGTATATATGCGTGCACATGCGTGATGCATGTACAGTGGTGGTATGTGTGTGTGGAGACGTGTGTGTGTGTGTGTGTGTGTGTGTGTGTGCGTGTGCACGCGCGTGTATACACACTATGTAGGGGTGCGTGGCTGGAGATATACATATATATCTATGTATGTATGTATGTATGTGTTTGTGTGTGTACACAACGTAGTGGTGTGTATTTGTGTGTGGAAATATATATTGGATGGGGTGTGCGTGTATCTAGACATATAAAATGCATGCATGTAGAAACATATATGTATATAGTGTGTGCGCATGCATGCATTTATACATACTGTATACAGCTGTGTGTGCATATAATGCATGGGGGGTGCGGCAATGTGTGTGCATGCCCACGTTGTGATGCAGGGCTGCACCAATCTCTCTCTCTCCACACACACACACCCGATCTCTCTCTGCGCGCACACTGCGCAGGGCGCGAGGAAGGGCAGGAGCTGCGTGCCCCCTGACCTGACCTGCTCTGACCTGCCCCGCAGCGGCGGCGGTGTCCCGCGGCCCAGTCGAGCTTCTGGTGCGCGCGA